GGGAAGCAGGGGAGGGGGTGGAGTTGGGGCGGGGGCATGGGCGGGGCTGGGGGCGGGGCCGGGGCCCGTGGAGTGTCCTCCTTTTGGAGGCACAAAATATGGTAACCCTAATCTTCAGACTTCTTCTCCTTGTCCAGATCTATTCTGCCCCCAACAATCTTCTATTCATTGAACTTTTCAAAACTTTGCACTTTTAGAGAGAGGTAAGGGATTGACTCTGTGTACACAAATTTGCAGAGGGACAATAGAGTTGAGGTCTGTTATTTCTCCCTGCTATGTATTATTTATTTATTTAAAAACATTTTTGCTCTTAACGAGCATGTTACCTCTGGAGACACAAGTCCACAGTTTGAGAACTGCAAAACTAAGCATCTCTGATGGTATCTTCTAGACTGAGCACTGAGTCCCATTGGGTAGATAGAAAGATTAAACTAAATAATCTATACAGAAGCCCCTGGAACCCCGTAAAATTGGGTCCCTAATCCATGAACTATTGGAACTCATTTACAAAACTTTTCGTAAACATTCCATGAATATATTGTCTCATACTATAGAATTAGATTTTATAATCCCTATTCCACGATGAGATATCTTTGAGCTGTAATGTGTCTTTAGATAGGTTTTTTCCTTCAAAAAGCATTTTATAAAAAAAAGAGATTTAAACAAAAAAAAATGATTTATTTTTAAATTATTGATTTTTATCCACCCTGATGGGCCCCCTGCAGAATCTTATAAAAATGTAGTGCAAAAGGATTAGAAGAATAAGTGAGGCAAAATTATGCCTTTGCTCATGAGGGTCAGACAGTGGCTAACAGTAATCATACCCAACTCCAATCCAGAAATGAAGGATTACTCATCTCCTTCCCCGCCCCCCATTTTTCCTCTCTCTTCACATCTCTTTCCCTCTCTTACACCAAAACTAAAGTAGGGAATAAATCCCTAATAAATAAACTTAGCTTTTACTCAATATTGCCCAGATGTCAGGGACCATGGCTCTTCAACCCTGGTCCTCAAGGCTCTTTGGTGCTAAGAAGTTCAACCTGCCACCTAGGGGCCTGCCAACTACTTTCAGAATAGGAGCTGAACTCAGAGAGAGGGCCCCAGTTGTGGGAGTTGATTGGCAGAACACTGGGGACTCTGATTGGTCCACAGCCGCTGTTTAAACTGAGCACAAGAACAGGAAGTTGTCCATCCAACTGGGATCCACCCTGCTCTGGATTGTGTGCTTTGTGTTTCCTGTTCCCCTGGATTGAATTCCTGATGTCCTGACCCTCCCTGACTCTGTTTATTGATCTGTGGTTCTGCTCTCAAGTTTGTGTTCTGCCTCTGATTTCCTGGTAACCTGTCCCTGACTGCCTCCTGACACTCAATTCTCAGTTTATTCTCTGCCCTGTCTTGGACTCTGCCCTCGCAGTATTTGACCTGTCCTGATTCCTGACTCCTGCTTTGACCACTAAGTCAGACTGCCAATGTCCTGGTCATGACACCAGCCCAAGTGTTCTAAAATCATGATTCAGGCCCCCAAAATTGAGGTTGGCATAATAATAGCAAGATTTTTTTAAAATAATAATTTTTGTTCTCTTTATTTACATTCTGATTTTTGAATATTGAAGGTTCATGTTGTTAAATTTTTCTCCACAACCATGAGGGCTAGAAACTTAGTTTTAAAAAAATTAACGCTGAAATTCTTAAGTGATCACATGACTCCAGGGGCTGGGGCTTTAGAAAAACATGAGACTTAAGATAAAATACAAGATTTGTGATAAAATCCTGAGAGTTGGCAACACTAAGGCCTGGTCTACACTTAAAATTTAGATCTACCTAGTTATGTCACTCAGGTGTGGAAAAAATTCACATCCCTGTGTGACATAATAAAGCTGATCTAATTCTTGGTGTAGATGCATCTAGATTGATGGAAGAATTATTCTGTCAACATAGCTGTTGCTTCTGAGATATGGATAAATTACAGTGACTGAAAAACCCATTGCGTTGTTGTAGGAAGCATCTACACTACAGGCGGTGTAGCTGTGCTAGTGTAGTGTAATCATAGCCTAACTCCTATTGGCATTGTGCAGCCATTGCATTTAGAACCTGTCATAATATGGCAAAGTTTTACCAGGATTAAATATGGTGTGAAAGTTGGAAAACACTTGTATGCAGTGATATGTGTTTAACTTAATTTCTAGGTGATGGAGTATGAGAACAGGATACGAGCCTACTCCACTCCAGACAAAATCTTCAGATACTTTGCCACCTTAAAAGTAATACATGAGCATGGAGAATCAGAGGTTTTTATGACACCACAAGATTTTGTGAGATCCATTACTCCTAATGAAAAACAACCAGAACGTAAGTAATGTATACAGTAATTATGTTTAGGGGTGATATATATAATGAAGAGTTCGGAATAAATTCTTTACTGTCTCTTTGTAGTCAGCTTTTACTTACCATTGTACAAATAGGTTGGCAAGGGATCCCCTTTTATTTGTATATGTTTATGTTGCCTAACATAATGGGCCCTGTAGATGCTGCTACAATACAAATAAATATTTTCCTCTAAATGCATGTACTCATGGATGCATAATATTATACAAAGTAGTAATAGAGTAAAAAAGTAATGATTTAGTTCAGCAGGTAATATGTTCAGCTTTTCATCAGAAGACTACAAAGTTTAAATTCCATATCGGCACTTGGGCTCGTATCCAGTACTCTCACTGCAGTGGAGTACTGCAGGATAATTAGACATGGCAGAATTTAATTTTTATTTTTTTAGAATTTCAACAGATACCAAGTTTCAGCATTTTAGGCATTTTTCCTATTTTTAACTATTTAAATTTTCACAGTTGCAGTAAATTGGAAGGCTTATGCCAGACAATAATTTAATGACAGTAAAGTTTGAGATTCAAAATTTAAATCTTTATAACTGTTAAAGCACAAATTATCAACATTGCATGTCAAAATATACAATATAAATATACTTAAAGCAACTCTAGTTTTCAAGCAGCGTTTTTCTTACTTGCATCTATATAAATTTCTGTTACCGACGGAGATATTTTTCATCAGTTTGTTTGTGTGTATCGTGAAATCGACGTTTACTGACATTTACTGATAACATTTTAATCCATCCAAGCCTAAGGATAATGGTGATGTATTACAAGAAATGACAGCTTTTACAGGAAACAGAATTTACAAAGTCCATCTATTTTCCTTCTGCCCATTTCTTGTGGCTGTCCAGTTAAAAGTTAGATGTGGTATCACTCCTTAGATGGGTTAAGCGCTCCTGGTGTTCTGGCCAACATTTCCTTTTTCAAAACATATCTTAATAATTTTATGCTAAATCTTGAAGTGTCATTCTGTTTACATTACAAAACACTAGTTAAATGCTGTACTTAGAGTGACTAAGAATACATTTTGACATACCTTGAAGCTAAAAATTGTTGTCTAAAATGGATTTCTGTTTTATTGTATCTAAGGAAACATCAGTGTCTCTTTGGTACATGCCCTTGTCAAACAGAGGAGATTATCTTCCTTTATGTTTAATGGTGAAAGACCATTTAAAATGAAGGTGAAGATCTGTCCTGAACCTACAAATGGTGAAAACATAGGAAGTGGCAGCAATTTGAAGTAAAGCTGAATAGCAGTCCCATAGTCTGTCAGGCTAGTCTGTTCTGTGGTATTGCAGGAATGCAGGACTTCATTCCATTGTTAACTAAAAAAAAGTGTTGGCAGATGTCATCTGAACATGATTAGAATGTATTTCTCCATCCCAAAATCGTTAACGTCATTGTCCAAACAATTTTTCTTCCAATAGTCATTGTGGATGTGCATCCCTTTGAGGAATATTTACATGCTGAATTTCAAAGCTCAGTTTTTAAAATTATATATGTAGGGAAAAGGTACTTCTCTTCCCCACTCCCACCCCCATTAGCCTCATATGTAACTCACTGGGACAAATAGATTTTTCTCAAAAAATGTAAATAAAAAATAACCTTTTAGCTGAGACTGCACATGGAAAACTTTAGCCTCAAATGTTAATTTTTCAGGCAGTCACAAGGAAATGAAAATAGGGTAATAATTGAAACTGTTTTGACACCTTAAATAGAGAGACTACCACCAAATGAATCCTGTATATTTAAATTTGTAAAGTGATAGAATAAACTATATGCATGAAGTAAGAAAAGAAATGAATACTGTCCTGTTATGATACGATCAGATAACTTAATATTCACTCCTGATTTAAAATGCCATGAACTGGTTGTGGATTTTCAAATGCGAGTACATGAGTTGTTATTTTTTTGGTACACAGTAAAAGAAAATGGGGTGCATTACTAGCTAGTAGTCTGAATGTTAGTAACATGGTTTTAATTCCAACATCTTAAGGTATTAATTCTATTTACAAATCTATTTTAAAAAATGTAATACCTTGTTGAGACATAAGATGCTAAAGTGTCAGTGCCTTTTAAAAATGGAAACTTTGTCAGGCATATAACTGTAACAATGCTAGCAATCTCTCGTGTATTCTGTGTGATATAGTCATATGGTTTGGTTGAAAGTGTATGTATACTACTTTCAGGATGGTGAGTGGTGGGTGGCAGTTTGTATTTTTAAGGAGCACTGACTTCAGCCAGGTCTACACTACACACTTAATTCAGTATAACTACATCATTCAGGGATGTGAAAAATCCACACCTCTGAGCGGCGTAGTTATACCGACCTTATTCCCTGTGTAGACAGCACTATGTCGGTGGGAGAGGTTCTCCTGGTGGCTTCAGAGCGCAGCGGCCAACTCTTGCTGGTGGCCACTCTGACAGTTTTTCCTAAAATACTTTAGGAAAAACAAATAAATGTGCACATATACATGTCCAAATCATTGTAATTTATTTATGTAGGGTTGTTTTTTGCAAACTTAATAATAACATACAGTTGTCTCTATTCTTTACTGCACCTAAACAGAATAGAAATAAAAAATACAGTGCTTTGCATGTGCTTGTCTTGTGTTGTTGTTTTCTTTTGGTTTTTTTGGTATTTTTTTTTTTAGATTTGCTATCTAGTAAGTCTGCTGCTGTGAAAAGTGATATTTCTATGTTTGTTAATACCATTTTTTACAGAATCAGACTTGCTAGCTAGCTGGGAGGCAGTGAAAAGTGATATTAACAAACATACAAATATCACTTTTCACAGCTGATTTACTCAGCCCTGGCAAGATGGGGGACAAATTAAGCCCTGGATGGGGAGGTGGATAGGGAGGCAGCAGGGGCCAGGGGTGATGGATGGGGGGGCCAGAGGAGGCAGCGGAGGCCAGGGGTGATGTGGGGAATTGTGAGCCCAGGGCCAGGAGAAGGAGGCCGGAGCCTGCCGCCCACCACCCCAGGGCTGAAGCCGGAAGCCCGATCCCCACTGCCCCCTGGAAAGATGGGGAACTCACACCAGTTGCCTGCTCCTCCAGCATTTCTGGCTCCAGAGGGGGACAGGACTCACCCAACCCCTTCTGGCGGCTCCAGGAGAGGGGCCCCTGCTTTCCCCCCCTCCAATCACCACCCAGGAAGCTGTGGCCACATGAAAAGCCCCTGGTAGCTACATGCTGCCATGGTGGCCGCATTTGAGAAACGCTGGCTTAAAGCATCTTCACCAGAAGAGCTACAGTGGTGCAGCTGCGCCGATGCAAGCTTCTAGTATAGACCTGCCTTTCTTTTTGTAGCTATTATCTTTCTGGCAAGCAGGGCCAGGGCACTACAATTTGGGGGGCGGCGACCGTGGTGGTATTTCGGCGGCGGGACCTTCCGCTGCCTCTGTGGGGGGTGGCATTTTGGGGCGGGACCTTCTGCCGCCTAGGGCAGCAGAAAAGCTGGCGGCGCTCCTGCTGACAAGGAGCACTGCTTGGAGTATCCTTCAAAGTTTATCATTGGCACAGCTTAATTGTCTGCAAGGCTATCTATTCAGTGACATGAAGCACTCTACCAGGGTTACGGATATCTCCTCTGTAAAGCTTAGGGCCCTTGTTATATGGTAGAGTAAAACACTGAATGAAAATTGTTTGGTTTACATTGAGCAGGGCAGAAAGCTGTCCTTAGGTCTTACCTTGCTGGCCTGAAAAATTTTAATATGACTGTCAAGGTTTGTTTTTTTTAAAGGCAAAGGTTTTTTCTTCCTCATTAAGTGTTCAAAATCACGATAGGATATTAGTATGTAAATTATTTGAAAGAATGATTTATGTAATGAAGCTTGGAGATGTACTCGTGTAATATAATCAAACCAGGTATAAATTTGTTTTCAAATGTTACAAAGCCCGTAGCGCTCGGCTCTTAAACAGAGCCGAAGAGTCAGGGGAGGAGCAGAGCAGCCACGGGAGGGGAAGTGCCCGGCTGGCATTTTCCCAGATATGTTCGGCTTTTTGGCAATTCCCCCGGACGTGGGTTTGATTGCCGAAAAGCTGGACATGTCCGAGAAAAACCGGACGTATGGTAACCCCATGCAAGCAGCACATAAATTATCAGTTCAGAGTCTGGAATTTTTGCAAGGGGGTTCGTGTTATTGACCACACCTTTGTATCACTGGAAAGTTTAATGAGGCAGCGTAGAAGGCTATGCATCTTTACACAGTACAACATGCTACCCATTAAAGAAGATCCTTGCATCTGTTTCTGGGAATATGGCACTTCAGCTATACTGCTTTGTAGTGAAAGATGAA